TCATTTTTTGAAGCTCGCGAACATTACCAACCTCGGCTTCGCCTCGGTTGGTACATTGTTCTCTCGCTTCAAAAAATGTTATTTTCTTCACTCGTGAAACAATATACCATATTAATTTCGCTGTTTCGATTTTTCGATTTTTCGATTTTTCGATTTTTCGATTTTTCGATTTTTCGATTTTTCAATTTTTCGATTTTTCGATTTTTCGATTTTTCGATTTTTCGATTTTTCGATTTTTCGATTTTCGATTTTTCGATTTTTGATTTTTCGATTTTTCGATTTTTCGATTTTTCGATTTTTCGATTTTTCGATTTTTCGATTTTTCGATTTTTCGATTTTTCGATTTTTCGATTTTTCTGTTTTTCGATTTTTCGATTTATCGATATTTCGATTTTTCGATTTTTCGATTTTTCGATTTTCTTTTATTGAATAAATGAGAAGTTAATATTGTTTAACGCCGCACCGCTGTGCCGGTCGGAGTGGGGGTGTTAGGTTTTTTTCGTTACGGTCGTTACGAAATTTCTTGATTCGGTCTCCGCGCTTAAAGCCCGCGATAAAAGCTATGCAATAGCTTAAAAATAAAAAAATAAATATTGGTTTTGTTTAGTTATTTACTAAACCGTACTCGTATATTCCGTTTTTGGCTAGTGTTTGATATTTCATGCCACTTTTTTTACTGTACTCGAATGTTTTTATCTATCGCACAAAGTTTTTTCCCTTTTAGTATCCATCTACGACATTTACGCTCTCGTTTGAAAAACTCTTTCATTTTTTACCGTTCCCAGGGCATCAGCAATGTGAAATATGATACGAACTCCACTTCAAAGTTAATATGGTCAAGAATCGCAAAACTTCATCAACGTCCACTTAGGTAACAGCTATTTTTCTCATCAGCTCTTCGATAGTACCTAGAAAACTTTGCCGAGAGAGCGCTTCTCAGACAATGGACCATAATTCACATACTTAAGTGGTTTCATTTTACCAACTCAGTTTACTTTTTCGAGTTACCGAAATTTAATATGACGCCACGCCTGATAAAAATCTGAATGCGCGTTAAATATTTGCTCTAATAGCCAAACCAAATTCGAATACAGATAATTTGAGTTCCTGTAAATAACTTGAAATTGCAGTGCTTGATGGTGTAATCGACTCCGGCTGAACGATTTCCCAATGATGCTTCTATAAAAGTTAAACGTTTATATGTACAGGATGTCCTGTATACAATGTGAAGTAAGACTAATATATACTTCTTACTAATACGTGCTAACTAATACGTGCCAATACTTACGTTACAATGTAATCAGGGTACACCACCCTAAAAAAAAGGAGAACTCCTATAGCAGGGAATTAGGAAAATAAAATGTCCTAGAAAACTATAAATTCTTAAGATAAAGTCAATATTAGACTAAAAAAATATGCTGTATCGAAAATGTAAATTCGACAGAAGCTAAAATGGTGGTCTCCACCTTATCAAGACTAAGGCCCACAAGGGTAAACTCGTAGCGTAAAAAACGAGAAATGATTTAACTTGGAACGAAAGACCGAAAGCCGATAGTAGTATTAAGACATTGAATTTTCTGGTTTGTGAAGCATTGGGATTACTTAGGTCAAACTATGTGATGATATTGACAAGCCTTGATTTTTAAAACCATTCTATATCGTCTTTTGATTAGGGCTTACAAACTTGTTCGAACAATTTATCTAATAATAATTGACCCCTTTACTTCTTAAGCCTGCTCATGTAAAATATTTGAGCTCCTTACTTCCCTATTTATCTAAAAATATTTGGTCTCTTTTAAATATGTCCATGTAAAATTATAAGATCCCTTTACTTTCTTAGATCTGTTCATGTAAAAATATTTGCACCCATTGTTGCTTAAACCTACCTACGTAGAAAAATTTAAAAAGGCAACATCTTTTTTTATTTTGAGAAATGTCAGTGTATTTTATGGTTCTGATAGTTTAAAAATAGAGGTGTTGGACGACTACTGATGTATGATTTACATTATTTTTTGAAAATTATCAGTAATTAAAAGTTTTCGAGTTGTTTTGGTTTTGGGAAAATTTACTAAAAAAGCTACTCTAACTTGTAAATCACTTCTACGAGTATTATGCCTATTATTAAAGACTTTAAGAAATAAATACCTAATATTGTAATATATGAAGAAAAACCTTAATCAATTTTTATCGTCTGATGCTTGCTAAAAAAGTTGATCCAAGATCTTGTATATTACTAATTTTCATGAAATACATCTCATTAGCCCGACAAGTACCCGTTATTCCTATTACGAATGCAACTTAAATTTTATATTAGTATATTAGCATGCCAAAGCACTTATCAAACATGTATAATTTATATTTTTACTGATATTTCTTTCTGCTTCTCCCGACCCAAATTTAAATTTTTTCATGAATGATACGAATTTTGTACTGTACTGGCAAATATTTCAAAGACGCCCTTTCTTAAAAAAACAATTTTTTTTACAAAACTTACATTTTAAACTTTAGGAAGGAGAGTATTTTTCAAATATATAACAGGAAGTCCCCATAATTTAACGTTTTTTAAAAAAGATTACCTATTAAAGGCATATGAGGATCATTTATCTATTTATTCAATAGAATTTATAATTATATGTCATGTTCTGTCAATTCAAATATGCGCGATGTTGCCAAATGTCTAATTATTATCAACGAAAAAGAAATTTAAAAAAATACCTTATTTTTGACATAACATTTCCATACACTTTAAAAAACACTTATATAATTTATTTCCAGTCAAATCTGACGATTTATTTATCTATTTTGATTGAATAGTAGAACATAATAATTAAATATTAATATTACATATATATTACATATAGTAATAAACAAAGTACTTTTCGAAAACTTTTAAACATAATTTTATTACTACTTTGTATTATCCAACAGTTTAAAACAAGTGAATTTATTTGGTTGACACAGTGACGCCAGCTAGACAAATTTAAAGACTACTATCAACAAAAGCATAGCTGAATTAGTTCAGTTTGTGTTGGGTTAACTGTGACGTCACTCGGTGAATACTTTAAAAGTCATTACATTTAAAACGTACATCGATACACCCTTTTTTAAATTACGACGTTCAAATATTTTTAAATTCAAAGGACCATTTTGACCCAGAGAGATAAACACATTTAAAAACTGTAGGAGCAAATAAATAGGCAAGTAGTAGGTCATAAATTTAAATACTATGGCCATGTTACCTAAACAATTTTTTTTAATTAAGAAATATTGAGAAATTTTAAATGTTAAGGTATAAGTCGAAATTTTTATACAGGGTATACAAAAAGTAACTTAAGATACTAATATTTAGATTCCTGATAGGTTTCCAAACAATTTTGAATAAAGTTTTATGAAATTAAGTTAATCAAATTCGCGCGAATTTCGAAACGTCGGCCCGGCGCGCTCGCTTCGCTTTCCCTCCTCTGTACTATTTAGGAGATGGGTGGGAGGAGCGTAGCGTGATCTTATTATGTGGGTGGAAAAAAGGCACATCGACCAGGCGCGTTCGCTTCACTCGCTCTCCTTTGTAGTGGTTTGGAGGTGGATGGAAGGAGCGTAGCATAAACTTATGGTGAAACTGTTACCATGGAAACGCTTGTCATGCTAATAACTAAATAAATCCCGTAGTGTGAAAATATCTGGTTGCCAAGTTATAGATGGTTTCATTTTTACTTTAGTTTAGATTGAGATATTATGTAAAGAGTTATTCTAAATATAAGAGGCAACTGGGCATTTCCTTACCACCGGATTTAGGTTTGTGTTTAGTCGACATCACGACAAGTGTTCCTGTAGCAACAGTTTCTCCGTAACCGACTTCGGCTACACTAAAGTGAAAATTTAATGACCTGTACCTTGCCAACTATGCATTTCCTTACCACAGGAATTGTGTTTTTGTTTAGTCGTTACCATGATAAGTGTTTTTATGGCAACAGTTTCTCCGTACCTGATTTATTACAGCTAAATTAACTAATCTGTAACTTGACAACTGTGCATTTCCTCACCACGCTTTCACCATAACTGATTTCGTCTAAAATAAAGTGTACATTAAATGATCTATAACTTGGTAAATATGCATTTCCTCACTATGGAATTTGGGTTTGTGTTTACTGGTTACCATGGTAACACTTTTAAGCAACTGATTTCAGCTAAACGAAATTTGACCTCATATTTCGCTTAGAAATCCCCCAACTTAAATTAAATTTGACATATGACATTATATAAAAGGTTACCACGGTATGTGTGACGTCACCATAGTAACCACAATACTGTAGTCAACATTGTGTTTGGTCTGCCAAGTTCCTTTAACTCCTTTTAATTCCTTTTAACTCCATACGGCCCTTTTAGCGTTCGGTTTAGTCCGATTAGTGACAGTTCAACACGCTTAAATGTCATTTAAAAGCACCCTAAAACTACGCTCCTGTCCCGTTCCAGCCCCTGGCCAAACCAAACGCGATTCAAGTATGTTGTGGTAAGCTTACAAAGAAATGCTTTAAAAGTATCCACCGAGTGACGTCACAGTTAACCCAGCACAAATTGAACTAATTCAGCTATCCTCTTGTTGATAGTACTCTTTTAACTTGGTTGGCTAGGTTATTTATCAAACAAATAAATTCACTTGATTCAAAAAAGTTTTAAAAACTTTTGGATAACACAAAGTAATTATGTTTTAAGGTTTTTGAAAAATACATTGCTTATTACTTTATAGATAACGTAATATTAATATTTAAAAAGTATGTAATACGACCGGAAATAAATTGATAGAACTGTTTTTTGAAGAGTATGGAAATTTTATGTCAAAAATAAGGTATTTTTTATATTTCTTTTCTGTTGATTTTAATTGGGCACTTGGCAACACCGCGCTAATTTATATTGACAGAGCATGACAGATATAATTCTAAATTCTAATGAATGTTTGTAATGTATGGAATGTTAGAAATGTTTGGAATGTTTGGAATGTTTAGAATGTTTGGAATGTTTGGAATGTTTTGAATGTTTTGAATGTTTTGAATGTTTTGAATGTTTTGAATGTTTGGAATGTTTGGAATGTTTGGAATGTTTGGAATGTTTGGAATGTTTGGAATGTTTGGAATGTTTGGAATGTTTGGAATGTTTGGAATGTTTGGAATGTTTGGAATGTTTGGAATGTTTGAAATGGTTGGAATGTTTGGAATGTTTGAAATGTTTGGAATGTTTGGAATGGTTGGAATGTTTGGAATGTTTGAAATGTTTGAAATGTTTGGAATGTTTGGAATGTTTGGAATGTTTGGAATGTTTGGAATGTTTGGAATGTTTGGAATGTTTGGTCTGTTTGGAATGTTTAGAATATATGGAATATTAGAAATGTTAGACGTTAGGAATGATAGGAATGTGTAGAATAAGTCAGATGAGAAATGTATGGGCGGATTTTATGAACATTGATATTAAAGTAGTTAGGATGAACCGAAAATTCTAAAAATCAATAGGGTTCTAAGTTAAAAGCAATTATTCAAGAAAAAGAAAACCGCAAGTCATTGAGAAGTTTCGTTCTAGAGTTACCGTGCTGGCATACATACACACAGATGACCAGACTAAAAATTGTTTCTGCATTTTCGAAATGATCGGAAACGTGAAAAAAAGAATAAAAAAGTGGGGGCAACAAAATTTTTTCGTCTGTACGAATGCAATACTGAGGCCCCATAGGAAAGGCCTCAGTAATTATAAGCAGAAACTGTAGCGACTCAGATGCACTAAATACCTTCCTACCTTAGCATTTCACATGACCATACATCTATCATCCTTTAGGCAATCTTTCATTACGTGACAGTCCTATAGTCTGAATTAAAGAGGAGGGCAGTAAAAGTGGGATATAACGTCATATTCCATAGGCGTACTTTGCAAAATAAGTTTTTATAATATAAATAAGGTCACGGCATATAAAATGGTATATACGCACATCATACTGAATAAAAAAAAGTTGTTGCAGTTTAACATTGAACAAATTAAATTTAACCAATAAATAACAAGGTTGATTATATAATTACCACGTTGTCCGATTTTCTGTAATATAATATAAATTTGGTCAATATCTGATAATGGGATCCATGAAAAAAATCATCAAACTCTTAATTTTTTGTCTATATTCAGCGATAATTCTTTACTACATTGTCCGATCTCTATGATTCTTTTTTTATTAATAAGGGAGTACCTTGTGAGTGGTCCCATATGGTCAAGATCTGATGGGATCTATGAGAAAATTAACAAACTCAATTTGTGATGGTATATGCACAATTTTGAAGTCGTTTTCTTAAAATTACTTTTTTAACTTGTGTTTATATCAATTAGTTTTATTACTCTACATATTGTGCTTTCTAGTTGACATATTGATTATAGCATATTCTTAAGATTTAATTTTACCGCATTTATATTTCTATTAATCATATACTTTTGAATTATAGGTCTGAGGATGGTCTTAACAAGCCGAAACTAGTCGCACTATATCCTAAAAGAAGATATTTAGAAAGTATTCATGAAATTTACTTTATCACCCTGTAGAATGGAAACTGGAAAATTTACAGCAAAATGTTAAACTTTTCCTAATAATTACTTGTCTCACATTTTACGTTACTTTATTCTGAACCTGATACATTTTTAACTATCGTTCATAAATTTATTTCTCTGTCCTTCTTTTAGAAACCTGAAGCAATATGTTTTCCTTAAAATGCCCCAGTCACAAGACGCCTATGCCTTTGGCAATTAAGCGAAACCTAAAAGCGCTCTTAACGGAAGTCTTATATTGACTCTTCCTTAAAATTCAAATTTAATTAAAACTTAGATCCTTCGGGAGAGCGCCTTGAAAAAACGTCCTCTTGGAATATTGTAATGTTTGCAGACGGCTCTTTACAGTATACTTGTGGAGGCTGAGAATTACTTTATGTGGACATTTTTCCTTTATTTATATTATCTATCTTACTCTCTACCTCTCCCTCTACCCGAAGTTTTAATATTTTAACAAGTAAAGAAAATATAATTTTCGGTATATTTGAACTAGCACCTAGTATAATTTAGCCACAAGAACAAGTTAGGGCCAATTTTATTATTATCATTAATCTGAGCAAAAGAATGATAAAACAGACAAAAAGATAAAAAGGCAAATGAGAATGTTATCTAATAAAATTAAATTTAGAAATTACTTAAAAGTTTCTTTTGCTTTCAAATAGTATGACTTTTATTTAAATATGCAAATTCACCTGTTTATGTTAGGTTTCAGTATGTCATTTATTATTAAATTTAATTCTATTAGTGATAAGAAGGCAATATTTCTCCAGAGACGCGTACATTTTTAAATGGCAGTGTCGTATTTGCTTTGTTAAAATACTTGATTAAAATTATTATCATTCGAAAAAGTTGCTGGCTTGCTTGCTTCTTCTATAATTACGAATTTTATATCCATTTACTTATTTTTATCGTTTTTAGTCCTTATTTTGATTTTACAATAATTTCGTTTTACATCTAGTTCCTACTAGCCAAAATTTGTATGGAATAATTAAGGAGTTTTGAAGCAAAACCAAAAAAACCACTTTTTATAAAATTAAGTTAGCGGCGAATTTCAACAGACTTTGTAAAATTACATCTTCATATTGGCGATTCAAATTAATTTTCGCGCGTCTGTCATTTGTCATCTATAAGTAGGATGTTTGTTTATTTACATGTTTTTGTTTTGGGCGGATTTTGTATTTGCGATTTTTTATACTGTTTTTAGAAAATATTCTCATTGTAATAGTGTTTTTGAGTTTCATTTAGTGTTAATTTAAGGAGGTCCTTTCGCCACCAATGTTAAATAAAAAATATTAGATTATGACTAAAATTAATTTTTTTCTAATAGTAGATGTCCTTATTTATCTAATAGTGAACTTTTAACTATACCTTACCGTGCAAATTTTTAAGAAAATTTTTTTTTAAAAATGTGTGTGTTTGTACAGTGTCTTATGAGAAAGTAAGACTTCAACAACAATTTTCGAATTATAATTAATTTTACTATTATTTATTGATTAGATGGAGTAGAAAAAAACTAAAAATATTAAAAAATCACAAAAAATTTTTAAGTAACTTAGTTGAAAATTTTTTGTGATTTTTTAATAATAATTTCTCAATAAATTCCACGGTAACCTATATATTTTATTGTAAAAAACAAAACCTAAATATTTCAAAAATCTTATTTTTAGTTTTTTTTCTACTCTATCTAATCAATAAATAATAGTATAATTCGAGAATTGTTGTTGAGGACTTACTTTCTCGTGAGGCACTGTACAAATACTCACATTTTTAAAAAAAAAAATTCTCAAAAATTTGCAAGGTAAGGTATAGTTAAAAGTTCAGTATTAGATAAATAAGGACTTCAACTATTAGAAAAAAATTAATTTTAGTCATAATCTAATAACTTTTTTTCAACATTTGAGGCGAGAGGTGTGGCGAAAGGACCCCCCTAAGTTTAAGTCTCGTGCTTTCGTTATAAATATAATATTTATCATGTGTATGACTTAATTTGTTGGAAATATTCACCTATTGGTTGCTAAAAGAACATCTAGAAATATGTATTCACTAAACCCAGGACATGTTTTATTATGTGGTTTAAAGGACCTTTCAGGTACCACACGTTTATTATTAATGAACTTATTCAAAAATCTTACTAGACTTATTCTTATATTATAAAGTGAATCATGCAGTACTTTGTATACATGTAAATGGTAATAAAACCGTCAAAAAATAAGATTACAGTTTGATTATAAACAAAGTTTTGTAAAATTTCAATATTGTGAATTTGTTGAGATATCCATTTATCGTAAAAAACAAAATTTTACGATAGTTTTGATTTTGACATTAACACCATATAGATTGCAATTTTCTGGGGACTTTTTCGCAGATTTCATTTTTAATATAAACATTATCACATGCTATAAGAAATAAACAAATTTAAAGCTAAAAAGTAAGAAAAAACTCGAATTGTAATTGTTACAAATTAAAATGTAAACAATGAACACGAACACCAATGTTGCCAAATGATGAACTGATTTTAAAACAAAATTAATAAATAAACTGAAATTTTAAAAAATCAATATCGGTTTTATAAAAAAATCCTTAAATAAATATAGAGTATTATAACATATTGCCATACACAAATTTTGATTCTTAAATAAAAGGTCTTATCCACTTCTCCAAGAGCTAAAATCCGACGACGTAGCGAAGTTTTGCTACTTCTGGCAACACTGAACGATATCCTACTTATACGGACCTTCTACAAATTTCCTCTAGAGGGCGTATCACTTAACTTGAATCGCGAATAGGCACTACCCAGGGTAGCCCTTTTCCTTGTACATAGTTGGTAACAAGTTTGCTTGACCTCAACAGTAGCGCGCTAGCAGCTTCTGTGGGAACTAATCCCGTTGATAATAGTCGATAAAGTAGGACACTACTAAGTAAAGAGATTTAAAAAATGAACTGCTCTATAATTTATTATATTTGAAGTAATTTGAGGTCACATTTTTCCTATTTTACAACTTTTACTTACAACTAGAACAAAGAATAGGTTTACTGGTTTCTTGCTATTTTTAAAATTTTTTTTACAGAAAATCTACAAAAGGCTAGTAGTTAATATTTACAATTTATTCAATAAAGAAAGGTAATATCTTCTTAGGTACATTAACCCGTAACTGCTATGGCGGTGTCCTATGGACTCCAGCAGTTTTCTTTTTATGCGTAATTCAAAGAATTTTTGCCAGGTGGCGCCGCCCGTCTCAGTACCTTTCAGCCGATGTGTTTTGAGTGGGGGAATGTATTGTTGCCCTCTTTATCTGTCAGTGTACGAAAACAATCAGGAATGTTCTGTTGTTTGGGGACGATGAGACCCCACCATACCAATAGTGCTATATTTTTTTCTTACCCAGCATCTTGTTTCAAACGTTATAATGGCAAGTTCAAATCGAAAAAGCATGCGCGCGGATGCCCCTTGGTTTGAAGAATGGGCACTTGAAACTTTGGATGAACTGGAGAGTGATTTTAGCGGGAATACCGACGATGTGGAGCCGGACTTTGTCTCTGAGCATGGCAGCAACTCAGAAACAGAAATCGCGTACGAACAAGAGGGTGAGGATCAGAACGAACAGGAAGAAGGGGAAAATGTAACTGACGAAGAGACAGAGGTAGGATCGAAATCATATTACGGTAGAATGGATTCAAATGGAGTGATAAACTTCCGGTTACTAATGTTCGAACAAGAATTCACAATATCATATCTCACGTTCCGGGTGCCATTGAACCAGCAAGATTATTGGAAAATGCTTGTTCAGAGGTTGACGCATGGAATTGCCTCATTACCGATGAGATTTTGCTTGAGATTGTACAGCAGACAAAAAAAGCTGCAAAACATGAGAGATAAATTCTATATAAATAATAAATATTTGGCTGGTGACGTTGATATCACGGAGCTGAGAGCTTTTCTGTGCCTCTTGTTTTACTCAGTAATTTTCAAATCTAATAATGAAGACTTGGCATCAATTTTTGCAACAGATAGGACAGGACGCGAGATATTCAGGTGCACCATGTCGCAGAAGCGCTTCAGTGTTTTGCTCACCGCCTTTGAGGTTTGACGATAAGGACACCAGGGAGAAAAGGAAAAAACCGACCGTACGGCTGCTATTTCTTATACTTTTCAAGAATTTATGAGTAACTGCAAGAAAAACTATTCGATATGTGAGTATGCCTGTATTGATAAGATGCTTGTCGTATTTCGCGGCAGATGCAAATTTCGAATGTATATGCCCAACAAACCACGGAAATATGGAATCAAAATTATCGGCCCGAACGACACAAGAACACATTACCTTCTGGATGCGTATATATATTCAGGAAAGGACAGTGATGGCGATATCTTGTCAGAAGAAGAAAAGAAACTCGGCAAGCCAACGCAATCCGTTCTTCGCTTAGTAAAATTCATTGAAGGTTCTATTAGAAACGTTACAGCCGATAACTGGTTCTCATCAATGGAGTTGATGAATGAGCTCATGAAGAGAAACCTGACCTACGTAGACACACTCAAGAAAAACAAAAAAGAGATACCCAAAGAGTTTTTCCCGTCGAGAACTCGACCTGCATATTCTTCGCTGTTTGGATTCACCAACAATTGAACCAAAGGCGTAATCGACGCGTTGGATGAAAAATGTGCTGTCAGGCGTTCCAAGCGATGGCTCTCACAATCTTTTATGAAATTCTAAATATTTCTTTGGTGAATGCTTTTGTTATTTTCTCTGATAAACGAGACAATTCCGAAATTTCAAGATATCAGTTTATAAAAAACTTGGAAACGCAACTTGTTGTTCCACATATTGAAACAAGAGCTGAGAATAAACATCTACCCAGGCTTCTGAAACAGAGTATTCTCTGAATTCCTGAGCCACCAAAAGGGGAAATATCTAAACTACAGAAGCGAGTAAGGTGTGCCAAGTGTCCACGTAAGCAAGACTGTTGCATGCGCTGTTTCTCACTTACCAATTTGTGGAAGTTGCGCTCGAAGTATTTGCGGTGATTGCTTAGAAAACCGCTTGTAGCTTTTGGCTTCCGATTTAAGAAATGTAGTTCTAGTTGTTTTTTTTTTTGAACTTGAGTGTAAACTTTCGGTAAAAAAATTTGGAAATGTGTTATGTTTCGTTTGTTACCATTTTACACATACTTTTAAATTTTTCCATTACAGTTCATTTTTGAGAAATCATGTATAGAAGAAAAGTTATAAAGAATGATATCGGGATTGTTGTCAAAATATTCGATAAAATTTCTGAAAATAATTTAGGCTATGTAACGTGCATTTTTAGCCGCTTAAATTACTAGAGAAAATACGACTCACCTTGTTAAAATATAGGAAAAAAAAAAGG